TCAGAACCTGTGCGATGCGGAGGAAGTGAGACATTGTTAGAACTTAATATGATTCCAAAATGGATTATTCCAGCAGACAGTCATCAGTGGGAGAGAGAAACAAGCTTTTATATATGTATATTTGTAGCATCTTATCACGTCAAAACATAGGTAATTACTAAGTGTTGTTAGGTATTTTGCCCATAAAATGCACAGTCACTACATTTTACAGTATACTCTGTGATTACTACGCTTTGAGACGTTTCGAAGACATGATAAGGCATGATATCAAATGCAAGGATTATTGTTATTGTTTCTGTTGGCTGTTTTGTGTACAGCAAGGTCCCGCGTACAGAATGATAATAATCCTTGCATTTGATGCAGCACCTTATCACATCGTTGGGACGTCTCAAAGCGCTTCACAGGATACACTGTTAAGTGGATTTACTGTGTAATTTATGGGCAAAACACGGCAGCCAATTGCGCACAGCGGTGTCCCACAAACTGTCATGGATCGAGCGAACAACCGGGTTCCTACTAACTGCTAGGTAAACAGAGGTGTGTGTGGGGAGCAAGGAAACTTAGCTAAGGTTTCACCCTAACCTGTCCCGGTCAAGTCAAACCCAGGTCCTCTCGCTTGCGAGGCGACTGCTCTAACCACTACGCTACAGGACTCTACTTAACAGTAACGAAGCCCGAAGCCGAGCTGGGTGGGGGGAGAGGATGGTGACCGAAGAGGAAGGTCTTAAGAACTTGGCATTTACACAACATGATGCCAAGCTCAATGACGGCTGTTTTGCTTAAAGTGCAGATCATCTTTCCGCAACAGATTGAATTTTTTCTGAGATTCGCTGAATCTCTACAGCCTCCCACACAGCATGGTAATCCTAGCCTTGCAAGTACTTCACTTCAGTACGGATGCTACGCTCTCTCTCTGCTCTGGCTCCTTTAAACTCATCCCCAGACTCCAAACATCTAAGCTTCAAACAACCTAAACTTATGGAACAGGCTCCCTCGGGAGACAGAAAGGGAAGGTGGAAGCAGGAAGTGTGGATTCTTTCAAGAATAGGATAGATTCATAGAATGGAATCACAGAAGGAGGCCATTCGGCCCACCATGCCTACCTGGCTCTTTGAAGCAGCTACCAACTAATCCCGCTCCACCGCTCTTCACCCAACTAGCCCCACTCCCCCACCCTTACCCCAACTAGTCCCATCCCTCTGCTCTTACCCCCAACTAACTCCACTCCCCTTCCCTTACCCCAACTAGTCCCATTTCTCCGCTCTTACCCCATAGCGCAGCAAATTCCACCTTTTCTAGTCCCTATCCAATTCCAATTTGAAAGCTACTATTGAATCTGCTTCTACAACCCTTTCATGCCATGTGTTCCAGACCGTAACAACTCTCTGGGTAAAAAAAGGGCTCCTCGTCTGGTCTCCCCACTGGTTCTTTGGCCAATTATCTTAAATCTATGTCCCATGATTGCCGACCCACCCACCAAAGTAAACAGTTTCTCCCCTATCTACTCTATCAAAANCCCCTCATAATTTTCAACATCTCTATTAAATCTCCCCTCGACCTCCTCTGCTCTAAGGAGAACAATCCTTAATTTAATTTTAATTTCTGTTAGGAAATAATATCTGGGGATACAGTATATAGTTTGGAACACGACATGTCAGACGACTGCCAGGATAGTGGAAAGCAAACCAGATGGACCTTGGTCTTCTTTTGTCTAGCAAATTCTTATTATTCTTAAACAACGGCTTTGACTCTGTGGCTTTTGAAACTGGAGATTAGGAATTGCATTGACGTGAGCAAATAAATAAATAAATAAATAAATGGCAGATCATTTCAGCATTTGTTGTGGTTTTATTGGTTTGTTGACATTGTGCCAGACATCAGATGCCAACTAAGAGCACCTGCCCTGGCACGCCCCAACATACCATCCCCTTCTCACTACACCCATTGTATATAGCCTGATAACATAGTGGTTAGAGCGCTCACCTCACAAGCGAGAGGACCCGGGTCAGATCAGGGCAAAACTTTAGGTAAGTTTCCTAACACACACACACACACACACAATCCTCTGTTTACCAGCACTTTGCAGCGTATCCTGTTGAAGCGCTGTATCAAATACGAGGATTATTATTATTTCCTGCGGAAAAACACAAGCCTCCCATTAACAACAGTGAGCAAGTCTGCACAGCTATATCAAACGCAAGGATTATTATTATTACAATGCTGTATCTGTACGGACAGTGTCACCCACAGTCTGAGATGTGTAACAGCAGGAACACCAAGATGCTGTAGATTTTTAAATCAATCATCGATCAATCAGCAAGTTTCATGTCAACTAATTTGGGGCCACGTTTATTGGGCATATTATATGTATTTACCCGCTTTCACTAGTCTTCTCCCCTTCTCATGGGTGGGCTTTTGACTCCTTCTCAGCGTCAGTTATATAATAATAATAATCCTTGCATTTAACACACCGCCTCGTCACATCGTCGAGACGTCTCGAATCACTTCACAGGATTCACTGTGTGTTTCATGGGCGAAATGCGGCAAATTGTGCACATCAGCGTCCCACAAAGGCGTGGATTGAGTGACCAAATTATTATTATTACAGTATTTTTTTTTGTAGGGGTTATTACCCCCGGGAAAGCGATCCACCAATCGACTAACAAGCGGGTTCCTGCTTACTGCTGGTAAACAGAGGTGTGTGTGTTGTGAAGTAAGGAAACTTGCCTAAGGTTTTGCCCTGACCTGTCGCGTCCAGACGGGAATCGAACCGGGTCCTCTCGCTGGCTTGTGAGACTAGTGCTCTAACCACTACACTACAGGCATCCATGGGACCCTGCAAACAGCTTACCATGAGCGCTCGCACCTCGTTATCCTCCACTCCATTGTATAAACCGACCTGGCACATATCGCTCATTTTCAGACACAGCTGGGAGTGCCACAGCTGGGTTTAAGGAGCTAGAAAAACAAGATGCCTTTCCACTGGGATTCAAATGGTTCCAGATGTGAGACTGACGAGGTTGGCAGCCAGGCGCACACCAACACACACCACACAATTTCACAGCATCGCATCGCTAGAGAAAAAAAAATCGGTCGTGTTGGCACAGACGCACTGGCCTCTCTCTGACGTCCTTTGTGACAAGCCCCAGTTTTAGCTTACAGAGGTCTGGGACCCGAGCCCAGTCAGCGGACAGTAGAAAGGAAGCCCGAGGCAGACAAGTCCCGTGCCATTAATCCCACACACGCGTGCGAACAAACAAGAGAGAGAGAGAGGAGTGAGAGGAGCAACAACAACAGCAACAGAAAACAGACAAATAATATTAATAATCCTTGTTATTTGATACAGCGCCTTATCACGTCTTCAAGACGTCCCAAAGCGCTTCACAGGATACACTGTAAAGTCACTTCTGCCACTCTGCCCCCCCATCCCTCTGGAACTCCATCCTGCAGTCCCTCCGCCTCACCCCCTCCCTTGCCTCCTTCAAGACCCGTCTCAAGACCCTCCTCTTTGACCGTGCCTTCCATCACCCTCCACCCTCCCCGATCCCCAAACCCCCAGCTCAGGTCCGAAACACTGATTGTGAAAGGCGCTATATTTTGTTGTTGTTGTAAAGTTTTGCGCACAGCTGTGTCTCACAAACAGTTATGGATTGAGTATTAAAGGGATTATTATTATTGTTATTTTTTAATAATCCTCTCAAAAATATATACATTATTTGCAGGACGTCGCTGTGCACAATTGGCTGCCGCGTTTCGGCCACAAAATATACAGTCACAACACTTTACAGTATGTTCTGTGAAGCGCTTTGAGACGTCTCAATGACGTGATGAGGCGCTATCTCAAATGTCAGGATTATCATTATAACTTTCCCCCTCAGTCATCACTGTGAAGTGAGTTGACTCATCTTCCTGACGTCAATGCGGCTATACAAACGGTTGAGAAACTGAAAGAAACGGAGGGAGACAGGAACGAGAGATAAGCACAAACCCAGGGATGAGAAAATAGAACATCAACGACTGTTTTCTTCTCTGTTATGCAATGAATTGCCGGAGAGTGACGTCCGGACAGGGGGTGGGTTATTTCTGCACCGCACATGGGAGACAGAAGACATTGAGTGTATGTGGAGTGATCTACCGCAGTGGATGGAGAGCTCGCCCATTCCCGGGCGGGTCAGGTCAGGACAAAACCATAGGCAAGTTGCCTTACACCACACACACCTGTTTACCTAGCAGTAAGTAGGAATCTAAAATCTTCTTGTTGTTAGTTGATTGGCGGGACGCTTTCCAGGGATAATAATCCCTTCAAAAAAAGGTTTCAGATCACACACACGCTTATCATGTGTACAACACGCACACAAGCCCACACACAGGAGGGGAAGCTGCATTGTGGCTTTTCCGAATACTCACCAAGCAACCAAATTATTTTTTCTGTCCACCAAAGTTCAAACTGCTCAATGTTAAACAACCACAAGTTTATCAGTCCGTGTGGCTGCTCTGCAAAACTGTAGTCTCAAGTGCTGCAAAGTCGCACCCCTCCAACCAGCCGAGGGAAATGAGGTGGGAGGGGATGTATTATTTCAGTGTTAGAGTGGAGTACGTGACTGTTCCATCAGTCTGGGTAGGTTAGTCATCTGAGAACAGTGCAGTTGTTGGCCTCAGTGCCCTTGGTTCCTATGTATTTAATATATAATAATGCAGTGGAGTGGTTAGCATGCTCGCCTTGCAAGCGAGAGGACCCAGATTAGATTCCCACATTGCCCAACTAGTCCGTATAGTGATTATACTCTGCCCGTGCCACCACCCCTCTCCTATTCACCTCACCCTTACCTCTCCACGTTTGCATCATGTGGGTGATTCTATTAACAACAGAGCCAAGAGCTTGGGGGCGTAAGGGGGTTGGGGTGGGGGGGGGGTGGGGGAAATGGCGAGAGAAGTGGGGGGAGAAGTGTACGCGCAAATCCCCATGCAGTGAGCTTACAAGCACCATTCACACAGCCAGAGATAATCAGCAAGTTTTATTGGAAAACACTGAAACGTGACAACTTAGAAGGGAGGTCACTGCAAAACGCCTTAAATCGCGGCCGTTAAGATTCTGCTCATACGCACATGCATGTATATACACACACACACACACACACGTTTACATACACACACGCGCACTCATTCACAACTTATTTGCAGATTAAAGAGCATGAGAGATTGACGTCTGTTCAAAAAACAAAGCGCTCACACCTGCCAATGATAACAGCAGCAAGTACACAATATAATATACACCGAACACTATATAGGGGGTACAATATGTGCCACACTAGCAGGCTGCATTCAGACCTAAACCCATCCTTCCCACTCCCCCCACCCACCCAACTCACACGAGTCCTTCTGCTAAGTGCAATTTGGCCACATAATATTATTATTATTACTTTTATCACACACCGTTGGTGGCTGGGCTTTAAGCCTATCTGCCCCCGTTCTCTGGAACTCCATAATAATAATTTAGTCACTCAATCCAACCACTGTTTGTGAGGGCACTACTGTGCGCAATTGGCTGCTGAGTTTCTCCCACAAAGTACACAGTCACTATGCTTTACAGTATATCCTGCGAAGTGATTTGAGACGTCTCAAGACGTGATAAGACCTGGTTAAACTTCAGGGGTCAGTACATGCGTGCTGCGCTGAGAGAACTCCGATTTGCATTTACACAGCGCCTCTCATGTAAAGGGACGTCTCAAGCGCTGGACAGATGTAGCACTGGACAAGTAGCAGGGGGGTGAAAGAGTTAAAGATGTTACCAAAGACACGGTCAGAGAGAGAGAGATGTTTGGGGGAGAGTTTGGAAGGCAGGCCGGGAGAGAGAGAGAGAGATAGCGAGCGAACGAGGCGGAGCGGGTTTGCAAGCAAGCTCCCGAGAACAAGGGATTGTTTGGTGGTTGAAGACTTGACTAAACACGATGGAGCAGAGGGACTGTTGGGGCCGATTAGAAGACATGTAGTTTTATCACGAGCCTGGTCTTGCTGCTGTGGTCAAACGGGAACGAGAAAGCTACATGTTTCGAAGGACAAAGGATGTCACAAGAACACCCAAATATCCCAACCACAACCTTTGGCACTCAATTCCTCTCAACAGACTCAATTCTGGCAACTCACTGCTTGGCATCGGGTTCTTGTCAGACTCCGTCACCGTGAGGCACCCGGGAGGCTAACCCGCGTGAAGGGTGCTATATAAATGCAAGTTGCTGATGTTCTTCCGACCTGTTCTCCTCTACATATACTCCTCGAGGTGACCAGAAGGGATCGGAAAAGATTCTAACGCGCGAAATCGCAAGCACGGTGGCTGCACATTACAGCCATAAAATCGCCCAAGATTGCCCTTTTTCAGTTGTGAAGTCAAAACTTTTTTTAATAAACGCAAAGGAGAAAATTTCTTTCCTTTTGTCCAATAATTAAATCTGCAGAAACACTACTTCATTCAGCGAGTAGTAAACGTATAGAACAGGCTCCCTAGAGAGCCACGCAGTGGAAGGAAAGAGTGTTGTTTCAAGACCAAATGAGATAGATTTCTGTTGGGAAATAATGTCTCGGGATACAGTATATAACAATAATAATAATCCTTGCATTTGATATAATGCCTTATCATATCTTCGAGATGTCTCAAAGTGCTTCACAGGACATACTGTAAATATAGTTTGGGATACGTGTCAAGCGACTGCCAGGATAGTGGAAAGCGAACTGGATAGACCTTTGTCTTCTTTCACCCAGCAAATTCTCACGGTCTTAAAGAAACATCAACAGACAACACCGTGAAAAACAGAAACCAGTAAACTGCGACCATCAACACAAACCCTGCAATGGGACCTCAAAACATGTACTTTGTCTCTTTTTATATATTATATATATATGTAGTATATATAAACGAACACGTGCAAAGGAAGCATGTGGCCGTACAATAGACTGGAAGCATTTTACCCCGTTAGTTTCACGCTAAGCTCCCTCCAACATTCTATTATTTGCTTTTCATTTACATTTTTCCCTCTCCTACCATCCCATCGGATCTCGTTAGAATCCAGACTCCCAACTGTTTTCATGCAAGTTTTGTTGAAAAGTATAATTTTTTTTCCTCTCTCCTTTTTTCCCCAAAACTAGATCCAGTTACAGATTATTTAGAAATTAGCAAAATTATTTTTTTGGGGGGAAAAAAACATATTCGCAGTAAAGTTTAGAGAGACTGTTTGAAAGGAGGAACATACAGGTGTCTGTCTTAAAGAACTCTTCACTTTGCGGTCATCATCTGCACAAACTCTGAAAGACAGAAAGGAGGGAGTGAGAGAGAGAGAGAGAAAGAGGGAGAATAAGAATCAGTGAAGTAAAATAATAATCCTTTCATTAAATACGGCACATTCTCAAGTCGTCTAAATGTTTCAAAGCACTTTACAGGATTCCAATTGAGGCATAAATTGAGATAATGTACATGACATCATATGAATCAGAGGGTGACCAAAGCCACTGTCAAAGAGGAAGGTCTTAAAACAGGCCTTGAAGGAGGCAAGGGAGGGAGAGTCAGTCAACAACTAATCAGCTGCACCTACCCTCATAGTTGACTTGTCCGTCGCCGTCGATGTCAGCCTCTCGGATCATCTCGTCCACCTCCTCGTCTGTCAGCTTCTCACCCAGGTTAGTCATTACGTGACGCAGTTCAGCCGCGCTGATGTAACCGTTACCATCCTGCGTATAGATGGGAGACTCTCTGCGTTAGACACTCCCATAGCATTCCCAGCGCTCACCTGGCTGAGTAGTGACCTGATACAGATTTGTCACAGACTGTTTGTGGGACACCGCTGTGTGCAATTGGCTGCTGCGTTTCACCCAAAGACGTGATAAGTTGCTGTATCAATTGCAAGGATTATTAGTATTAGGCCTTCAAGATTATGAAAGTTTGCAATCTTTCACACTGGAAGGCCTTGAGGTGCTTTAGGATGATTACTGTCCAGTGTAGTGGCTGTGTATTTGAGGGTAATCTCAAAAGCAATTTTCAGCATGACAGGACCAGAGTCTGACTGGTATTTCTTTACCTTAGGGCAACAACTTGTATTTACACAGCGCCCTTCATGTGGGGTAGCGTCTCAGAGCGCTCAGCAGTAGAGGAGCCTGACACCGGGATGAGGGAGGAAGAGACTATAAGCATGGACAAAGAGAAAGGTCATCAGTCGTGATCTAAAAGAGGAGAAGGAGGGGCAAGGGGGAGGGAAGGATTGGGGGAAGAGAATCCTAAATCTTCGGGGAGTAGTGTGGCCGCCAATGGTTGAGCGGAGGGGAGTAATAATAATAATCCTTGCATTCGATATAGCAACTTATCACGACTTCTAGACGTCTCAAAGCGTTTCACAGAATAGAGTGTAAAGTGAATTGACTGTATATTTTGGGGCGAAATGCGACAGCCATTGCGCACAGCAGCGTCCCACAAACAGTCGTGGTTTGAAGTGACCAATTTATCATTGTTTTATTTTCTGAGCGAGTATTATCAGTCGTGTGGAGTGAGGAAACTTGCCCAAGGTTTCACCCTGCCGGGAATCGAACCCAGGTCTCTTGTGAGCTACAGGCCTCCACCCTCCCTTGGCTTCATGAGATGTTGGAAGAAGAGGTTGCGAAGCACACCAGACAAAGGAAGCCACAGAGGCAGGAAGTCATGAGGAAGTGTCATTTTAGCACCATCGTACTCCTGCTAAATTAGGCTGCGGCTATAAATACTCTTTACACCACAGGCTTCACTCCCTACCTTGTCAAACACTCGGAATGCCTCACGAATCTCCTCCTCGCTATCCGTATCTTTCATCTTCCGGGCCATCATCGTGAGGAATTCTGGGAAGTCAATAGTCCCGTTACCTGCGTTCAGAACACAAAGTGCGGCAGATTGAGAGCCAGGCCGAGGAGAGGTCACAGAGGTGACACAGGGCCACAGTGAAACATTTGCCGACGGTATTAAAAAGAGAATCTAGGACACCAGCTGTACACCTGCTTTTTAATAATAATCATAATAATAATCCTTGCATTTGATACAGGGCCTTATCACGTCTTCTACACTTCTCAAAGTGCTTCACAGGGTACACTCTAAAGCGAATTGATAGTCTATTTTGTGGGCGAAATGTGGCAGCCAATTGTGCACAGCAGCTTCCCACAAACATTCGTGGATTGAGTGACCAATTCTTCTTCTTATTTTTTCTGAGGGATTATTACCCCCTTCAGGAAAGCGATCAACCAACCAACAATCGGGTTCCTACTAAGTGTTTGGTAAACAGGTGTGTGTATGTGAGTGGAAGGCGCTCATTTGATGTTGTTGTTGGAAGTTTCATTACTCTCATTAAATGTAATCTTGATGTTGTTGTTGGAGTAATGAAACTTGCCCAAGGTTTCGCCCTGACCTGACCAACCCGGGAATCGAACCCGGGCCCTCTAGCTTGTGAGGCGAGCGCTTTAACCACTACACTATGGGAAGAAGTAAAAAGGAAAAAGTTCCCGTTTATCATGGACTGCCTAGCGCCTCCTAACACAGTGCCTGCCATTTACCGTCGGCATCAACCTCATTGATCATATCCTGTAGCTCAGCCTCGGTGGGGTTCTGCCCCAGTGAGCGCATCACTGTCCCCAGTTCCTTTGTGGTGATAGTGCCGTCCCCATCCTTGTCAAACAGGGAGAAGGCTTCCTTGAACTCTGGGAGACAGAAAGATTTGGATTACAATAAAGCCTCATCTTGGCCCTCAATAGTAAATATGAATAAAAATAAATCCTTGCATTTGATACAACGCCTTATCACATCGTCAAGAAGTCTCAAAGAGCTTCACAGGATATACTGTAAAGTGTAGTGACTGTGTATTTTGTGGGCGAAATACGGCAGCCAATTGCGCACAGCAGCGTCCCACAAACAATTGTGGATGGAAGGAAGTGTCAGCTTAGACTATGAGTTCCAAGTCTCAACACGGGGTTTGAACCCACAACCTTCTGGTTGTTTGATATTACAATGAATCCTGAATGCACTGCTCTCTAATAATAATTATAATAATAATAATAATAATCTCACTGACCTGCAATCTGTTCCTCTGTAAGTTGATCCGCCTGGAAAAAAACCAAAAGTGTTAGTTAACAAAAAGCCATTCACTATACACTATATTGCATGGAGCCCTATACACACACTATCTGTGAATGCCTATATGATAAAGCAATTAAAATCTTAAATGCAGTGAAAGTTCACAGGTGCAGCCAAGTGCCGCATACCTGACATCACATCGATACCTTCCTTGATTGTTTGTCAGTGATAAGAGTGACCATAAACCTCTTTGAGGAGTAATAATCCCTTCAAAAAATCAATAATAATAATTCGGTCGGCGTCGTTGAGACGTCTCAAAGCGCTTCACTGTAGTGACTGTGTGTTTTGTGGGCGAAACGTGGCAGCCAATTGCACACAGCAATGAACCACAAACAGTTGTGGACCAGTTTTATGTGGGAGATTGCTGGCCAGGGCACTGCGAGAAAGAAACTCCCTTCGATTTTCCAATAATAATAATAATAATAATAATCCTTGCATTTGATATAGCGCTTTTCACGTCGGGAGGACGTCCCAAAGCGCTTCACAGAACACACTGTAAAGTGAATTGACTATATATTTGTGGGCAAACGCGCTATGGGATCTGTAACACCCACTTGAACGGGCAGTCAAGGATCTCTGTTTAACGTCTCACTATTTATCCGTGAATCTATTTTCCACCCTCAGCATTTACAGCATATTATGACCCCCCACCACTCCCCTCCAACATGTCCTGGCAACGTTTAGACGTTTCCAATGGTTCTAATAATACAGAGGACACACCACACTGTGCGTTGCAGATGCTTAAATGTTAAAGGTTCCGCATATAATAATTATATATATTTCTAAAAGCCCATAGAGACAGACAATTGCATTTATTGCTCTGTGTTCACAGCCAAAATTAAAGGTACCAGAAAGCCACGTTTCGCCCACAAACCAGACAGTCACTACAGTTCACAGTGGATCCGGTGAAGCGCTTCCTGACGCCTTGACGACGCGATCGGGCGGCGATTGATGTATAGGGGGGGGGGGGGGGGGGGGTCAGCAGTGCAATAGGACGCAGAGCAACGACGCCCCCACAGAGCAACAATCATAACGGCAATCCCGGGGTCTGATCGCGTCGTCGCGGCGTCTCAAAGCGCTTCACGGGACACACTGTAAGGTGTAGTGACTGTGTGTTTCGTGAGCGCCTGGTGGGTTCGTGTCCGCCTCCCGAAGGGAGCGGGCGAGGAGGAGGAGGAGGAAGAAGACGGGGAGACGAGGGAGGAAGGGGAGAGGATGATGAGGGAGATGATGAGGAGGAAGATGAGAGGGAGGAAGATGAGATGAGAGAGATGAGAGGGAGGAAGAGGAGGGAGGAAGAGGAGGCTGAGGAAGAAGGTGAGGGGGGGTGGGCGATGCTGAGGAGAATGATGATGAAGATGAGGAGGGGGAGGAAGATGAGGGGGGGCCCCTCGGCCGCGGCCTCACACACTGACACACTCACCATGATGTCGTCGTGTCGGTCGCCTCCGCCGCCGCAGCTCCTCACGGTTGCTATGGAGATGACGGTCCGTTCCCGCTCGCTCCGCCGCCGCCTCACCGCACCGTATCCCTCCGCCGCCCACACCCGAACCCCACCCTGCCCTCGCGCACACCCCAAAACCCAGCTGCATTATCCCGTGACGCATACCCTCCCCGCCCGACTCCCAAACCGACGCATTTACCGCTCCCGAAAGGGCTAAAAGTGCGAATGGGGGTTGGGATTCTTTTCTTTCTTCCCCCCCTCTCACGCAGCGCGCATGGGTACAGACGTTGCGTCGGCCGTGAGGCGGCGGTAACGGTTTTCTGTTTGAAAAAAATCTGCCGTTGGCGGCGGCTTGAGACACGGCTTGTGATTGGTCACAGTGCAGCGGCCGGGCAAGAGACGCGCTGTGATTGGCTGGTCCCTACCCGCAATGCGTCAAATGTGGGGTGTACTATCTGCAAGAGGGGGAGGGAGACTGTAAACGTAAGGTGTGGCCAACAAGCACAAGGTTAAGGGTGTTCATTATCCACAATCTTTATGTGAAATATAATGATGATTTAGATGCAAACAACGATGTAAGTGGCACATGTGAATACGAGCCCCCACCGGAATAGGGGAGTTGCTCATGTTCTCTTTTCCCTGGAATGGAATGGTCCGACCGCTTACCACGACGTCATTACGTTGAGTTTCGGCGTGTGATGAGAGTCAGACGCCGTTGCCCCTGGCAACCGGTCGAGGGACCAGAGGGGGAAGTTAGCCCTCTTGTCCCTTGACCGGTTGCCAGGGGCAACCAGGGGTAAGTTACCCATCTTGGCAACCGGCCGTGGGATGCTCGGTGGACAGTTGCCCCAGCAACGATCAAGGGGTGAGATGGACAGTTGCCCCTAGCAACGTTCCAAAGGACCAGATGGGCAGTTACCTTGGCAACCGGTCTGGGACGAGATGGACAGTTGCCCCTAGCAACGGTAAAGGGACCAGATGGGCAGTTACCTTGGCAACCGGTCAAGGGAAGCAAGATGGAGCGTCCGGCTGGATTGCAAAGTGTGATTGTGGGAATTTCACCCCCGTCCTTAAGCGCTCTGAGACGCTACCCTGCGTGGAGGGCGCCGGATAATAATAATAATAATAACAATAATAATAATAACAATAATAATAATAATAATCCTTGCATTTGATATAGCGCTTTTCACGTCGGGAGGACGTCCCAAAGCGCTTCACAGAACACACTGTAAAGTGAATTGACTGTATATTTGTGGGCGAACGCGGCAGCCAATGGCGCACAGCAATGTCCCACAAACAGTCGTAGATTGAAAATGACCAATTTATTATTGTTTTTGGGTTTGGAGGATTATTATTAGGCTCTGTGTGGAGTAAGGAAACTTGCCCAAGGTTTGGCCCTGACCTGCCGGGGATTGAACTCGGGTCTCTCACTTGCAAAGCGCTCTGAGACGCTACCCTGCGTGGAGGGCGCTGGATAAGTGCAAGTTGTTGTTGTTGTCTTATGCTCACGGTGACCTGACTGATTTTTAAATTATTATTATTATTATGAGTCTCCAAACCCAACTGAGAATTCCCTACATCCCACCTGCACCTGGAAATCTCGGAGATAGGTTGTTGGAATGGAATGCAAGCGCCTTCTCTCTCTCTCTCTCTCTCTGGAGGGACGCTTCCTGCTTTACCTAATTCCACAGAGTATTAGACGCGGGTTGGCGAGAGCCAAGGTTTGGGGACCTGACTGACAATTATAATAATAATAATCCTTGCATTTGATGTGGGGCTTTTCACATCAACAACAACAACAACAACAAGATTCCATTTATAGAGCGCCTTTCACGTCAGGAGGACGTCCCAAGGCGCTGCACAGTTGGGTCATGACCCGAGCATTGGGGGGAAATGGTCAGGGTGAGGGGAGGGAAGGGAGGGAGCGAGGAGGGGGGAAATGGTCAGGGTGAGGGGAGGGAAGGGAGGGAGAGAGGAGGGGGGAAATGGTCAGGGTGAGGGGAGGGAAGGGAGGGAGCGAGGAGGAGGAAGAGAGTCGAGAGGGGAGCTGAAGGCACGGTCAAAGAGAAAGGTTTTGAGACCGGCCTTGAAGGAGGAAAGGGAGGAAGCGGCGAAGGCACTGGGGATGGAGTTCCAGAGCCTGGGGGCTGAGAGGCTGAAGGCCCGACCACCGATAGTAGGGCGGTTGGGGCGGGGGACGTGGAGCAGACCGGAGCCAGAGGAACGGAGGGTACGGGCAGGTAGGTAGGGGGATAGTAGGTTGGAGAGGTAGGAGGGAGCAAGGCCGTGAATGGCCTTGTAGGTGAGGATGAGGATCTTGAAATCAATCCTCTGGGGGATGGGGAGCCAGTGGAGGCGAGCGAGGGTAGGAGTGATGTGGTCGCCTGGTGCGGGACAGTACACGAGCTGCAGAGTTCTGAATGACCTGCAGCTTGTGGAGGGAGGGGCGGGAAGGCCGGCGAGGAGAGAGTTCCCATAGTCCAGCCTTGAGGTGACAAAGGCGTGAACCAGGGTTTCAGCAGCGTGAGGGGTGAGGTAGTGCCGTAGTCTGGCGATATTCCGGAGGTGATGGAAGGCGGTGCCAGTTGTGGTGCGGATG